TGATGCCCAGACCAGAGGGTTCCTGCAGGCATCACAGAACAGACCTGGGCCAGACCCATCTCTGCTTGCCTGCCTGTGACCTGGGAGGAGTCACCTTGTTGGGATGGAGGCTGCTTTTCTCATCTACAAAACGTCCATGGCTTTGCCTCAACCTTGTAAGGTGGCAGGCTGAGGACAAGCCATGGTGGAGGAGAGTTCAGGTGAGCACCAGCTGCTCTCTCTACTCAGTGGGGGGCATGGTGGCAAGTTGGCTCCTCTCCCTGGAACTTGACTACGTCTGTGACATACAGGCATCTCTCACAGTGGTGAAGAGGAGCCTGTGGCATCATGCATTTGTGCGTCTATGTATGTAACATATATTATTTCTCCAATAGGAATATAAACTTATATGTAAGTACATCACAATCTGTAGATGAGTATCATTATCTGCGACTTTAAATGCAACTATGCAATGGATTATTGAGGAACAGAGCACTCCAGCAAAGCTCAGCAAAACAGCGAGAGTCCTGTTTAACTCAGGATGGGACATAATGGCTTTGGTGGAGCTCCATAGCGCTGGGTGATGGAACAACTCATCTTTGCTCCAGGCAGCCGCCGGGTGGCAATTCAGGGCTTGGAGCCCTTCCAGGTTGGTGCCCCCTCCTGGTGCTGGCTGTCCTTCCTCTCCCAGAGGCCTTCATCAAAAGCAGCCTGGGAGGGCTTGCTCACCAAGAGGGGCTGGGTTCCCAGGGACAAAGTGGAACCCCCAGTTTCTAAGGCCACCCCCAAAAAGCCAGCATGGCACGGTGTGACTCCTGCCCATGTCCAGGAGGCGCCTGACGGAAGGATGGTCTCAGAGCTTCAGAGCCTGGTCTCACCACTGGCACTTCAGTTAACATAGCTCACTGAAGTTGAGTCACTGTGACTAGGAGAGAAGTGTGCACTGTCCTCTCTCCCTCACCTGCAGCTCAGGTTGTGAGATGGAATCAGGTGGGCAGTGATCAACAAGAATGCTGGGAGCAGTGGCTGTATGCACTGCCCTTTCCCTTCTACCATCATATCTTCAGGATCCTGTGCAAGATTTAAAGTAAGACTTATGCAAAGTCCCCCTACCCCACCCCCCAAAAAAGAAAGAAAACCATTTTGAAACTCAGTGATCTTTAAGCGTCAGGGGTGACAGTTCCTTGTGGACCAGTGGATGAACTGAGGCAGATAAAGGGAGATGAGCTTAACAGAGGTCCCAGGAGTGTGTGTGGAGGTGAGGGTAACAGAGTTTTGGAGGCAGAATCAGCAGCAGGCTGGGTTTCCCAGGGGCCTGAGGAGGGGCAGGTATAAGGCAGGTGCCAGGCTCCTGGTCTGCAGGAGGTGAAGGGAACAAATCCAAATCTTTGCTTCACCTGTCTGCCAAATAAGACCAGCAGGCCCTGGTCTCTTAAAGTGTATGGGACTCAGCCAGCAAAGTGCTGGGGTCAATGCCTGCTGTGGGAGCCAGAGGGACAAGCATGTTTACCCTGAAGTTTCCACCCCTGGATGATCACCAGCTCTTTCTTTCTAAATGTTCTCATCTGACATCTGTGCTGCTTCCAGCCACTACCTCCTCGCCAAGATGCACTGGGCCCTCCTCCCCCGCCTCTGGGTGAGCATCTCAGGTGAGATATGGACAGGTCACTCCTTGAGAACTAGGGGGCCATGGTGACCGGGACCTGAGAGGGCAGGGCCACAGATGGGTGGGCAGGATGTCCTCCCTTGCTGAGGCTGGTCGGCTGTTGCCCAGGTCAGGGCTGTGGGCTGAAGCTGGCAGGACAGCAGGGAGAGACCAGACAGGGGAAGGAGCTCAGCTGGGGATGGAGACCTTGGCTTTCCCCCTGCTGGGCTTGGGACCCTGGACAAGTCCTGTAAGCCCGTGAGTGCAGCTTGTAGTGGCCCACAGGGTCATGCATGCAATGAGGTGACACAGACTGGGACACAGAGCCCTGCATTTGAGGAGCTCCAACCCCACAGGGTCTGGGCTGAGAAGGGATCGGGGTAGAGGGGGCCTTGGCTTAGCTCTACCAGATCTGGCTCCAGGACAGGAAGAGTTTGGGGCATCAGTCTTGTTTGCAAACAGGGGAGAACACATTTCCTCCTTCATAGTGCTGAGGTGTGTGGGCCAGGGCCTGGCCACTGGGAACATGTGACACGTGTACTTATCTGATGGACCAGTCACATCTCAAGAATGCAGAGGCTCACCTGTGTGTATAAGCAGAGCACCAAGCCTTTGTCCTGAATATTCCAGAAATTGCTCTTAGAAGTAGGACACAAATGTTGTAAAGAATTTTATCCTGGCTGTCATTCCAAGTGGCTGTCATTCCAAGTGATGTAAGTAGTACCAAATCCCGGTATCTGGTGACAGACAGAATGCATGAAGTCCCAGTGGCTCTGTAGTGAAGGTGGTGGGTTCCTTTCCTTGGCGTTTTTCTGGACATCTTACACAGCTTGTGTTCGGAGCACCATGGCTCCTTTATGTTTCAGTTCTTTGCCTCATGGAAGGACTCTGTGCAAATGTCCTCTTGAACAGATGGCCGAACATGATGGATCACACCCCCAAGGGAAAAGAGGGTCCCGTTCTGGCCCCAGCCCTGCTCTTCTCCTTGTGTCACTGAGAGAATGGGGAAGAGCAACTCGCACCATTCAGCCTTGATTTCTCATGGAAGCCATGTGTGCTAGAGTGCCACCCAGATTCCTGGGCCCTCTCCTATCACCTGTGTCACAGCCCTACAACTCAAGCTGGGTAGGAAGATGGAGAAGAGGCTAGGGAGTGGGAAGCTGCAGGGAGGAGCCAAGGGAGAGGGAAAGCAGGGGTGCGGGCTTCACCCTCAGATGAAAGCTTTTCTGGTGTTGAAATGGGTGTCCTGCCGACCTTCCCTCCTTTTTAGCAGAAGTAGGACACGAGTTGCCAGCCTGCTCCCAATCCTGGAAGGTGAGACTCCCAGCTCACAGCTCTCTGGGGAGCAGCTGCATTCACTGGCCGGGTTGCACCAGGGAATGCTGGGAGGGTCTTCTCGTTTCATCACACGGCATCAAAAGGACGGGTGTAAATAGTCACATAAAACAGATGAGTTAATTTTGCTACTTGGAGAAGTCTTCATCTTGGTGGGCTCACTTGGACTCCACAGCAACCAAAAGCTGACATTCTAAGGGAACAGAGGAGTGAACCCTGCTTAAATCCAGGGTCTTCTGAGCCCTTTCCTAACCCAGCATTGAAAAATATTCCCTTATGTTCAAATCCTTTTCTACTTCTTTTTGTTTTAACTAGCCTGGAATTAATTTTGATGCATGGAAGATTTGGGAATCCAAGTTGCACTTCTCAGCCTGTGCCTTAAGTCTCCCCCTGCCTTACCTCCCCACCTGTGAAATCCCACTCACGTTCTGGATCCCACTGCAGTGGGGTTCTCTTCTGTGCCAGACTTGCTGGTTGAGGTCCCAGGCTTCAGTGTGTGCTTTGACATTCCTGGTTGGGGACAATTCCCAGGCATTTACTACCCAGCTTCTGAGTTCCATGAGAAACTCCTGCTCAATCTTGCTTGCCGGATACAGATGCCACAATGTATGGAGGACTTGTGTCTTCATGATATGAAACCCATTCCATCTGCCACACAGGGGCACCTCCGCTGGCTTTCAGGCAAGCTTTATCATTTCATCATTTTGTCCACATGAGCACTGAGCTGTCATGTGCCCCAGTACTTACTAGTTTTTGTTGCTATGGTTTATTTTGTGTGTGGTCCTGGGATTTGAACTCAGGGCCTTGTGCTTGCTAGGTGGACTCTAGCACTTCAGCCTTGCCCCAGTCCTTTGTTTTTAGAGAGGGTTTTGCATTTTTGTCCGGGCTGGTCAAGACTCCTGCCTCAAGTAGCTAGGACCCTGAGAGTCTGGGACCCCAGGTCTGCATCCCATGGCCTCAGTATTGCTTTTTTTAGAGCTCTAGTTATAGACTCTGTGTGGAAAGTCCTGGATTTGCATGTATCACATCCTGGCTATCTGCTGAAGCAAAAATTTAACTCCCTCATTGTTCCATACTTTGCAGCTCCACCCCTTCAAGCGTGGGTTTCAGGACAGATCAACGTGGCTTAATCTTCCAGGCATCCTCTGTCTCCAGGCAGGCGCTTTACAATCTTGCAAATCAGGAGTTCAGAGAGACTGAGCACCTGCCATCTCACACTTGCCCTGCCAAACAGTGGCAGGATTGCTGCCAGAGCCCGGTCTATTTCTTCCTGAAGCTTCTGTTGTGAACCCCAGAAGACAGACTGGAAACAAACCAGCAAGGGCAAGGCTGGAACTCCTTCGTGTTTCTCAGAATGGATAAATTTACTCCTACAGACAGAAAGCATCGAAATGGTAGTGACTAGTGGACCTGACAGGATACACAGAACCCAGAACTGGTGAGGAGCCAGGGCTCTGTGAGGAGGCTAAAGCTTGGCTGGGCCTCCTGACCTCGGCACAGGGCTGGGCAGACCAGCAAGGCCAGACTCCAGCACTCAGTGCCCGGCGATTGTCATGGCAGAGTGGCAGGGGCTTTAGGAAACTGTGCGGCCACATTCTGCATGAGTCTTCTCACCACTGCAAAGCTGCATGGCACGTGGGAGATGCCAGGGAGAAGCCCACACCCTGCAGCTCTACCTACGGGGTCCTCACGGTCTCAGCACCTCTCAAGTGGTCATTGTCCGTCATTCTCATTCTCCCTGTGGTCATCCTATGAATTACACGGCTGCAATGTCAATAAGCAGACAAGAGCCTCAAGGACGGGTAGCTGTGTCCAGAGCTCCTGTTTTATCATCTGTGCTCCCCACGGTAGCCTAGCGACCTGACCCTCGTGGGCCTCCCGAGGCAGGACAGACAGTAAGTGAGCCACAGGCAGATCCATTGGGGTATTTGTATTTCAGGCACTGTTTTTTTTTTTTTTAGTTTTTCTTATACAATTTTCCACAGGTATAATAATGGTGAACAGATTCAGATTATCTATATTTATTTCAATATATCCGGATCATTCTGGCTGCAAGTGACGCAACCTCATGCCACCTGGCTGACATGAGTGACCATTTGTTGACCTGTATACCCATCAGTCTGAGATGGAGTGGGCGTCAGACTTAGCTAAGTCCAGGTCAGGATCCTGTCAGCAGGGTGGGGACAGGAAGCTGACTCTGCCCTGCTGACAGGAGCACATCAACAGTGAGAAGGGGCACCACGTGAAGTGGGCAGCATGCAGTGACTGGGTGGCCGCTCTGGGGCACAGAGCGATGGACAGGGGGTCAGGGGAGAGTGAGGCCGGGCCAGGGCAGTGGGCATGCCTGCCATGTCTCCCCCTCACCCACTCATGAGAGTCAGAAAAGAGGTTGAGGTCGGCACTGAGTGAGTGAGCCTGCCTAAGGACACACCTCTCTGAGTCTCCACAGCATTTTATTTGAAGCAATGAGAAAACACCCCCTCGAGGGAGGCCCAGGGCCTACCCTCCTGAGGCCGCCATGCTGAAAAGACCCACCCTTCCCCACACGCACACCTGGAGGATTTCTGCTCCTGGTACCAATTGCTGCAGTGCCTCAGAGAGCCGAGTTGGTCACTGCAGTTGGCACCACAGCCCAGAAGCCAGGAACTGGGAAGCCAGACGGCATGGGCGCAGGAAGTGTGAGCGACTGTGTGACTTTGTGGGCTAGCCCCTCTACGACAAAGCCCTGCCTCCCTGTAGGAGTGGGCAGGCTCCTGTCTGCCAGCATCCCATGGTGGGTCATGACAAGCAGTTTCTACCCAGGGACTGAACTCCTTGGACTTTGTGAACACAGCACCCCCTCCTGTCATGCCTGGCCAAGGGTCCCCCATTCCTGTCTTTGCCCACCTCCCTTCCCTGCCACAGCCTCTCTAGGTAGGATCCCTCATCTGCCCATCGCCTCCTCTCACCCCAAGCTCCTAAGTCCTAAATCACATCACCACTCACCACCATGCGCTCCCTGCTCACTCAGTCCCTTCACCCTGTGCTCCAGAGGAAACACTGTCGCCCAGCCCAAAGCCCAGAACAGAACGGGAGAGAATCAGCTCTCAGCATCCTGGGTGCCACGAGGTGTATTCCTCACTGGCGGCATCACTAAGCTGTGGCTGCCTAGCAAGCTGGGAGACCGAACCGAGCACCTCACACAGAAACAGGTCCACCATGTCCTGCCACCCAGCCTCCCGAATTCTACAGGGTGAGTAGCAAAGGTTGTCACACATCAGAAATGTGCCGACCATAGAGAGGGCACATCTCCAGTGCAGCTGTGCTGCTGGGTGGCCCACTAGGTCACGTGTCCCTCTGCTGCTGGCCCAGTGCCACCCTCAAGGTGTTGGCACCCAGGTGCAGGCCCTGCAAGCAGGAGGTGGGCTGCTGGGCTGCAGCTGGGTCTGGGTAGTGCAGGACAGCCCTGCACCAAGCCCCCCGGCCAGAGGAGCCGCGGCGGCATAGGCTGGCGCTCTCGGAGGGCTTGCCTTAGGTCCCCAACGCGGGCATCGTGGGGGAGGTTACACACACACACAGTGGCAGTCAGCAGGGCGTCCTCCCCCTGCAGGGGGCCACAGGCTGCTCCCAGAGAACCTGCCCCTGACCATGGTGTGTTCTGGGGTCTCCTGGCAGTGCTTGGGGGATCTGGGTGCCAGCAGCCAGGTTCCAGAAGGGGCCAGGGCTCAGCTCAAAGGGTGACATCCTTCCCAGCCCTCCGCTCTCGGTCACGGAGACTTCTGAGTATTGGCATTTTCTCAAGCATCTCACGGGTGATCTGAACAGTAAAGCAGTTCCAGCTGACATCACAGGTCTGAAGGGTCAGTCACACCCGGGGCATCTGCCACATGCACTCGGGAAAGACAGTCCCACCAGGGACAGTTTGCATGCGTGCTGCCTGAGCGTGAGCAGCAGTGCCTGGGACAGAGCAGCCCACAGACTCTGTTCTGTTCCTTTTGATAATTCTCACTCTTCGAGATGCTTTTTATCTCTTTGAACCACAAAGCAGTTACAGAGGCCAGCCCTGCTCCAACCCAGGACTCCCACGAAGTGCAGACATCTAAACACTGATCAGCACGTGAGACAGCCAGTTATAAATTTTTCTATGAAACTACATGGTTTCATCAATGTCAATGTTGTGCTAATGCTTAGGACACACAACTAGAGCCATGGCTCTTCTCCTTTGTGGGAAGCTGGGCTCCCTTCCGAGACCTACTCACCCACAGTTCAGTGCACAATCTCCAGGGTCCCCAAAGCCTCTCCATGGACATCCCAAGTACAAGAGGAGTTCAGGCCCCAGGCCACGAGTCAATGCATTAGACCAGACTTCAGAAACACAAATGCCTCAAGCAGGCAAGCACTGCCTCACAGGTTACAGGTCTTCACCCTTTGTCTGTCTTCCCTGGTTCTGTCCTGTTTCCCCCAGTTCTGCCCATTCTCCCTGGTTCTGTCCCCAGCACTCAGCACCAACCAATCCGCTTCACAACCAGACTCTCCTTCAGTCAGAGCCATCTGTCGCTGGACCCTGCTCTGGCTCCCTGGTGGGCACTGCTTTGCCTTCCAAATGGCAAATGGCCTCTTGCTGCTGTAGGACTTTTTCTTCTAACATTTCCATTGTTGGGACTCAAAAGAAACAAAGCTAAAGTCATATCCATGCCCCAGACACGTCCATCCAGATCACGCTTTCCTAATCTAAAGCAGCTTCCCCCATGTGATCCCTGGCCAGGCCTAGGAGCAACCCCTGGAAGGAGCCTAGACTCAGGCCAGCGTCAAGGAAGCCCCAGGGTGAGGATGAACAGCTGACCCAAGTCCGCCCCGGCCCCTCTACCTTCTGTGGTCCTCGAAAACGCTTAACCACAGACTGGAACCAGTCCCAATCCAGTTTTCAGGGATTTCATTAAGTTGGTGATCTGGTATTTAAAATAGCAATTACAGTGAGAGAAAGCTGTGAACACGGGTTATCTGGAGAGGCTGATGGACCTACTCAGAGGGTGACAGCAGGGCCATAGGGCCTGGACATCTGGTGGGGTAGGTTTGGGGCCAACGCTCCCAGTGAGCCCTTAACTCCTGACACAGCTCCAGTACTGCCTCAAGTTACCGTGGCCCCCACTGTGTGTCCAGTGGCCTGAAGGCTCCCTTTGGCTAGAGCAGGGCCCTCAGTGCAAGGCCCCATGCTGAAGATCCACAGTGTCCTTGGTGATCATCACATGAAGCTACTTTATCTTGGATCAGCGGTCAGCTGGAGGAAAATGGAAACGTCACCATGGCCTGGCACGTGGAGGGGGTTTGGAAGTGTGCATGTGTCTTCCTGGTAAGTCATCTTGCTCCTTTCACTGGGAGCGACAAGACTTCGTGTCGGGCGGCTTGCCCCTCCACAGTTCCAAGTGGAAAAGTCGCAGTGGCCTTGCCACCACTCCTGTTATTTGCCATCTCTGTCTGAGGCAGGATTGGGTTGGTCTTGGTGCCACAGTGGATGGAGCTGTGAGCCAGCTGGACGGCCACTCTCTGGACAGTGCACAGAGCACTACTCGGTTTTTCCTGGCCGGCAATTAGGAACAGTTATTGCGTTTTGTCAGCATGCCATGTGAAATGAAAGATTCTGCTTGTTAATCAAACAGAAAACATTTTTTGCCCTCTGTAACCAATCGTTGCTTTTTCTAAAAAAAAAACACAAATTGGACTTTCTTTGACATGCTAATCTCACTCACTCTACTGAAGCGTGCAGATGTTGGTCACTTAGGAATCGCCTTAAAGATTTAGTCAGAAACCACGTCCTCTGCTGTCCCCTGGAAATACACGCTAAGTCCACTCTGACTTCACGACACCGGGCCAAGCCGGGAAGAGGACGTGGCGCCAGCCTTGACTCAGCCCCGCGCTGCTTTTGCAATTCTGGAGGAGCTACTTTTCTTTCTGCCTCTCGCCGAACTTGTCTAGAGATAAGGGAGGGACGATCTCTAAACCCCTCTTGTTCTGAATCGAGGGATGTCTGCACAGCTGCTGGCAAAGAGATAAAGAGACGCCAGCAGTATTTCTAACGCTAAACTCACCCGCCACAAAAATTATTAGTTCTGCAGGAGACAACAGCTTATCGTTCATCAATGAAAATGCTGTAGACACTTCCAAATGGCTGGGGTGATGTCATCGCACAGGACGAGCACAGGCCTCAGAGCAGAGTGTGGGGAGGCCCGGCAGCAATCGCACCCCACCTCCCAGAAGCCACTCAAGCCTCCAGCCCACCCAGCTCTCGAGGGTAGTGCCTCCTCCTGTTAACACAGCTGTTAATGTCAGATGTCCTTCTGCACAGAGTGATCACAGTCAGTGGGCAGGAAAAGGCTCCAACAGGGCTTGGCTCTCACCCAGCCCTGTGCCAGAGTGAGCTCCAACACCAGGAGGTGGCTCTATCTGGAAGCAGCTATGGAAGTTGCTGAGAACCATTCAGTAAAAAGTGCTTCCCTTTCGGTGTATGTGAGCACCTTGACCTCTATGCTGCCACAAGACCAGCTCACTCTGGGATCTGAAATTGAGCCTCACTGTCCTGGGACTGTTCCTCACAGTGGGGGCTGTGTTCCCCAAACCTTGTTCTCAATGTGTGTCTAAGCCAAGGAACATGCCGTGACCATGCGAGGACGTCCCTCCCAACGAGCCATGCGAGCGACAGTGCTGTGTCCTTGAGCCCAAATGTGAGGGCGTACACCCCTGCAGAACCCTGCATCCTCAGTGAAGGGGGCACTGCCACAGCATCCAGGCAGATTTCTCCTGCTGTGATAATGAGGATGACAAAAGCTAATGCTTCCAAGCACTGGGGTGAGCATTTTACACCTCCCTAGCACCAAGACTAGGGGTCAGTGTTGACAGTACTCAGATAAATCAGGGAATGGAGTGTGTCCCCAGCTCTAGACAAACCTACGCTTAAATTCCTACGCTTAGCAATGTGCTCATGTCTACCTGGTCTCCTCTTTCCTGAAATCGTGAGGCACCAACTGGACTTTGGAGGCGGGTCAAGGCTGTTTAAACTAGTCTGTGTGGGACCGACTGCTCTATGAGCTTGCAGGACTTACACCTCTCCAAGGTGGATGTAAATTCTTAGATTCCCAAAGCTAAAGCTAGCTGGTCTGCAGGTGGACTACCAGGGAGAGATGCTGGGATACCAAAACATTCACTTGAAACCATGTTACAGCCCCGCACTGAACTGTTCACCCCCGCCCCAACTCTTTACTGGAATTTAAAGGTTTTTTGGGTTTTTTTTCCTGACAAATGACAATAAAAATTCACTTTGCTGCATGGATAGCAAGACCAAGACAGAACAGTCAGGGCTGGAAAGAGCTGCCCATGTCACAAGATCCTCACGAAGAGCCAGCCAGGCAGAGGTAAATGGAACACGGAAAGCAAGATGCCCTGAGCCTCACGGAGTCTGAAGGTTCCTGACAGAGGTGGAAAGGTGGGTCTCCACAGCAGTAAGCCCTCACAACTCCAGTGCTGGGCACTTTGGGGGAACCCTGGCTGGATCTGACTTCTGAAAGATGGTCACACTCAGCTAGCAGATCTTGTTAAGAGCTATAAAATGTAACCATGGCAACTCCCCAGCACCTCTCTCTTCGTGACGCAGGCTGGGCTACAACGGACTCTCTGATGAAGTGCTGGGCCTCAGGAGAACTGAGGTCCAGGCCTGTGCACAACCTCCCAGGGCCCTGTTCCTGACTTCAAGGAGGAAGAGGATTTATGCTCTGTCTAGGGAGGCAGACTCTACTTCTAGGGACCCAAATTCTGACATGAACCTGAACTCTTCAGAAAGACACCAAGGGACATGTTGGCTTTCAGAAAGGCACAGCCATCGTCTCCCTGGCCCCCTGTGCCTTTGGACAGACCGCCCACCCACTTCCAGGTTGCACATGCTGCTTCTTCCTCTCTGCTCTTGCACAACAACACTGCCTGGAGGGCTGTGGCACCTGCAGGAAAGGCCCTGCTGGGCCAAGGCCCATGTGTCAGGCATTTGGGTTCATGTTCATCCTTGGAAGAGGATGTTGATTTTCCTCCCAGAGGAAGGGCACTTTCAAACACAGATGCTGCGTGTGAAGGGTGCACAACTGGACGGTCATGCTGCCTGACTCAGTGTCTCTCTCCTCATGCCACAAAGCTTCTCCACTGTTCCTCAATAGTTCTGACTGTCTGCCATCAGACACAGCATCATGAGCTTCAGGCTAGCTTCTGGGGACAAACTCCTACCGCAGAATGACAACATGTCCCAGCACCTGTGCTGCACAAAAGTCACAGTGGCAGAGGATTCGAGAAGGTCCTGCCCTCTATGCACTTCCCTCTGCCTGGAGGCCTGGGTCTGAGGTAGGATTGTCTGCATTTATAGGAGGACTGAAGGAGAGCGCGCAGAGGAGGCTGTGCCTGGGCTGAGAGGAGAGCACTCTAAAGAACGAAACAAGCCAGGCACCAGTAGCTCACTGTCATCCTAGCTACCTGGGAGGCTGAGATCAAGAGGGTCACAGTTCAAGGCCAGCCAGGACAAATAGTTTGTGAGACCCCCACCTTCAAAATAAACAGAGCAAAATGGACTAGAGGTGTGGCTTAAGTGGTAGAGTGCCTGCTTTATAAGTGTACAGCCCTGAGTTCAAACCCAGCTACATCAAAAAAAAACAAAACACAAAAAAAACACTGTTGGCAAGTAGAAGTCACTTCTGCCACCCATGATGTAGACCTTGAAAACCTGCCTGCTTATCAGAACCTCTAAAGTTTGTAAGTAAATTCTTGGGCCCTGGTCTGGAGATGTAACCCAGGAGATAAATTGTTCAGGCTCCACAGATGGTTATAATCTACACATAGCCTTGTTGGACTGCAGACAGTGTCCATGTCACACAGCGGACACTGTGCAAGGAGCCACAAGGAGAGGCCAGAGTTGGCCACAGCAAGAACCCACCTTGGACCACATGATTCCTGCTGGCTTTGGGCGCTGGCAGCCTGTGGTGATGACCCTGGTTGGGGTGAGGATGTAGTCGACTGTGAGGTCGTGGTCCTCAAGCAGTGCTTCTGGGAAGTCCACAACCTGGCCAAACAGAAGTGGGGTAATGGAGCTGACTAGAGGACTGCCTCAGTCAGGGTTATGCATTGCCTAGCAGAAGCTGCAGAGCTGGCTAGAGAAGTATCCCAAATCTACCCTGCCATAGCATGGCATGAGGACAGACCCTCTCTTCCATCCCTCATCCCTGGAGCAGTTGGCAGTGGCCCTGCTGACCCATTTGAGGAAGCACCTGGCAGTCGTGGACAATGGTAACCACAGGCGTCCCCTCGCAGACGGCTCCCATCGACACCATCATGGCATATTCGAGATCAGCGTAGCCTTCACCCTTTCCAATTCTCCAGCCTAAGAGACAAGCCAGCACCAGTGACTGTGGGGTGTGGCACACGGGGCAGGAGTGACCGTGGAGTCTGGGCACACAGGGCACTAGTGACTGTGGGGTGTGGTACACGGGGCAGCAGTGACCATGGGGTCTGGGCACACAGGGCACTAGTGAATGTGGGGTGTGGCACACCGAGGAGTGAGTTTCCCATCAGGTCTCTGCAGAAGGAGAAATGTGAACCCAGTGATTCCCCAGCCATCCAGCAGGCAGCCTGAAAACAGACATTCAGGTGCTAAACACCAAGAAAATGCTACCAACACTGAAGGTGCACGTGGTTAGAGCATAACAAAGTGGACATTGAACATCTTAAATGTCACAGGAGAAGCTGAGGTCACATTTGTGTAAACTTGGTGTCAACGTCAAGTCTGAGGACACCGAGGGGCCACTCAAGGGCCCTATGCTCTTACTATTTTTATTTGTTTGTTTGTTTGGTTTTTGGTGGGACCAGGATTTGAACTATGGGCTTCACATCTGCAAAGCAGGCACAGACAAGGCAGGCACTCTACACCTGAGCCACACCTGCAGTCTGGCTTGGCCCTGTTGGCAAAGGCCAAGAGCAGTCTGCATGACTGGCCACAATGGCGAAGCCCAGGCCCTGGAGGTCTGGGATGCACACAGTGCTCAGGAGGCTGCTGCTCTTATGACCCAAGGTTCTGAGCCTAACACTTCCATGTGACGGAGACTCTCCAGAACCAACTGTCACCCCAACTGCAAATAAGGCCAGTCCAGTTCCACCTCACTGGAGAACAGAGAGAAACCCTTCGCCACAGGGAGAGCACTCTTGTTTGTTCTTCCTGCAGAGAGAACTGAAAGGCCTGTAAGGGGCTGAATTGGGGTCGGGAGGGGAGGGGTGAACCAGTTCCTCCACACGAAGGATAAGCAGAACGATCACCAGCTTTAAAAGACAAATGGACTGAGTGCTGGTGGCTCACGCCTGTAATCCTAGCTACTTGGGAGGCTGAGATCGGGAGGATCAAGGTTTGATGCAAGCCTGGGCAAAATGTGAGAGCCCATCTCCAAAATAACCAGAGCAAAATGCACAGATTTGTGGTTCAAGCAGTAGAGCACCAGCTTTGTAAGTGTGAAGCCCTGAGTTCAAACCCTGGTCCCACCAAAAGAAAAGAGAGCTGCAAGTGGCACCTTCAGGAACCAGTCACACTGAGACATCGTCTTTTTCTTACCCTTTTCAGAAACAGCGACAGATCCAATCACAATTAGATCCACAAGGACTCTGGAATCCAAGCCTATGGGGGTGCTGAAGTTCCTTACACCCTACAAAGGGAAGCACAGAGCTGAAAGTCCCACTGCAGCTAACAGGCTAACGCTAGAGGGTGCCGGAGCGCCAGGTAACTTGCTTTGCCAACTTGGTGCAAAATAGAAACTGAGTTCTAGGAACAGGTCAGCTATGGACCCAGAATTTCTGAATAACACTTCTGCTTGTTTAGTATTCTTAAGAATACATGTCGACCCTGTGACGTGATATTTTACAGTACTCTGACTGGTAAACCCAGCTCTTCCCTGGGTGGGTGACCCTCTTCCAGCACTCACCTGAGAGGTGGCACATTTTCTCAGGATATCTTTGGTCGCTCCAGGGGGCGGTATGATCTTATTAAATAATCCTGTTCTCAGTCGTGGTGTTGGAACCAATAATGTTTTTTGGCTCTTTCAAGGAAAAGACAGCAAATTTCAAAATTAAATTTTTACATAGGACTTTCTTATATTTCTGCCATCTCAGGATGGGAAGCAAATTACTATTTTCTGAGCACCCTGGACCTCACTCACAGAGGGCTGGCTCCACCAGGACTGACCCTTCTCCTCTCCATGCCTGGCTCCTTCAGTTGTCATGTGGGAACAGAGATGGCTCCTGTAGGGCCACTGAGTTCTGAATGGGACGCCGTAGGGATGGTAGACGGGCTGGGCCCCTTTGGCATGTCATCAGCAGAGCCATCGGCCACCACATTAATAGGGCACTGGAATGTTACATTTACAGCTGTGCCTGCATTTCACTTAGAGCTTATTTTGGTTTTATAGTCGCTTAAGGGCTATGAGCATTAAAATATATAACAAGTTTTATATCTATATGCATTAAGTTTAATTATAATACATCAACTTAAATCAAACCTGGGGGAGAGCAGGCATGCTTAAATGGTGGAGCACCTGCCTAGCAACCTAGAGAGCACAAGGCCCTGGGTTCAAACTCCAGTACCACCAAGAAAATTTGAAATGATCAATCAAACCTGGGGGAGTTCTTCTCTTCGTGTCTTTGAGAAGGGGCCCAGACATTTAAGTTGAAAAGCACCTCTGGTTTATATTTTGGGGACACACTTATCAGATTCTTGCAGATGACTTATCACATTTTCCCAAAGCTAACAAGGAGGACCTGTATGTTACCCCACTCTTCTGAAAAAGCCCACCGGCATGGTGAGTGTTCACCACCATCACCCTGCACGTTCTTTGTCTCTGGACTCAGACACAGTCAGGACTGCTGACTGGCTCACCAGCCCCTGGAAAGCATGCCCAGGGCTGGCTCAGCTTGGAGAAATGGGATTACCTGCAGTGCCAGCAGCCGAGCCCCTTCCAGTGGTTTATCAGGGTCCACCTTCACTTCCTGTGTCCTGGCAAAGACTTGTAGGTCTTTGATTCTTTGGCAAGCCAGGTAAGATCCCTAGTTAGGCAAACAGACAGAGCCGCACTTACGTCGAGGACGAGGAAGCGAGTGTGTCTCTGGGGAGCGTCAGGATTTACTTTAATGATTCTGGCAGTTCTGAACGCCTGCAAACGGGGGAGGTGCTCCGTGGCACAGGCAGCGCCCTGTTCAAATGCAGTTGCAAGTCAGCAAGAGGGCAATGGGCTGTGGTGGCTGCAGCCTGAGTGGCTCAGCCCAGCCTCTGCCCGACAGGCGGGTGAGCCAATGCCAGACAGGAACCAAGACTCAGCCCAAGGAAATGTCTGAGAAAGAGGGCAGGGGAGGAAGGGAGTAAGCTAGCGACTTTGCTGTTACTGAAACAAAACGTTCCAAAAAGGGCACAAGTCCTGAGTGTAGAGTTTGATGGATTTTTGCGAAATAAACATACCTGTGAAACCACCTCCAATCAAGAAACAGTGCAACCTGGAAGCTCCACCCTCCCCAGGGTTCTGGTCCTCCCTCACCTTCTTACCTGCACTTCAAGACTGTTTCTCTCCTTGCCTAACATGCAGAAAAATAAAGCATGCTAACAAAGCCCAGAAGCCAGGCCAGCCGCAGAACCAGCTCAGCAAAGGACCACAGCTTGACCACTTGGAGAGAAAAAGTCCAGTCAAAACGGGTGCTGGCCTTCAGGGCATTTGTTCTTGTTGGAAAATATGCCACCAAAGACTCTGAACCGTGCTCTGCTCTGCTTCTGTCAAGCAGACTGAGTTCTATTACCCTGTTCCAGATGCCTCAGCTAGTCTTATGTTTTGAACAGTAGGGAAACCGAGGCCCTGAGTTGGACAAGCCATTCCTGGCTTCCCAGGACACTCATGGCCCAGCAGCCCCTGGGGGCATGCTCTCCACAGGCCCTTAGAGGTGCCAGTGGGTGAAAAGAGAGAACACTTTACTTTGTAACCAACAGGAAGAAGCAGCTGCAGTGCCACCCACCAGAGGGCACTGCCGGCCTGCCTTACACAGACAGGCAGAGCCCCATAACAGAGACAGTGATGTCTCAAAACACAAAGCACCCACCCGATGATCTTGGTTTCACACCTCTGCTCACTGTGCCCCGAGTTCAAATCCTCCAGGGAGCATGACTAATGTTATTCCTCCAGGAATGCTTCAGTACCTTAAAGTTGGGGATCCTGTGGTGGACAGGCCGGGGAAAATCAGCTAAATTTTGTGACTCCATGTAGTCCCAAATTCGTTCACGGATGTCTTGTTTAGAGACACCTATGGCGACAAAGGGCTGTGACTTACTGATAAAATAAAAAGGAATTCCACGGGGCATATGACCCCAGGTCATGCGTGCATCACTCCAGTAACACCCCCACCCTCTGCAGTGCAGCTTATGGCCACACCAGACCAAACTCAGACAGGTCCCTCCCCAGGGCCACCAGCACATGGGTTTCTTCCCTGAGCTCCCCTGTTAGCTTGGGCTGCACACAGGAGATGCTCCTACCCTGGCCCCGACTTCTTTCTGTATATGGTTACATACTATACGCCCACATATACAGAACACCTGCACCCTGTCCTTTCTAAGTTAAGAATGGGCCTTGCAGGTCAGTCAGGACTGGCATATAAAAGCTTGCTCATTGTTTTTGCAGTCCCATGGCGTCCCACCACAGGGACAGACCAAAGTTCACTCAGGCAGTGCCCACTCATGGGCAATTGGCTGGTTCCAACCTTTGCTTCGGTGTGTGCGTCTCCTAACTTAAACCTGAGTGTAGCCCTGCGGCATGAGGCCTAGACCTGAATCTCCCAGAGGCACAGCCAAGCCCAAAGCCACCTGGGGCCCATTCCAAACGCTGGTGCTTCCTGGCCCTGGTTGAAAAATATAGGCCACCTGCATGTCTGAAGATAGAAGGTGAGATCACACCACTGCAGACCCGAGTAGAGCCACACCTCAGAGACCAGAGACTCAGCCACAAGGGCCGAGTCCAGACTTGGCTTGCACTCTCCTGCTGGGAGTCTTGCATATAGGGGCCACTGCCTGGGAACATGCTCCCTTCCTGGACCCTGCAAACTCTGCCTTCAGGACCCAGTTTCAGCACCAGCTCTGCTCTCAGCTTGAGTCTGGTGCTCCCTATTCTGCCGAGCACCTCAGACCTCAGCCTTGAGTGGCTCAACCACGAGTGTCCCCTGGCCCCAACACACCTGCCTACCTCCCTCTCCCTCTCAGCCTTTGCACCTCCTCTTCCCTCCCTTAGGACTAGTTTCGATGCCACCTCTGCCAGCACTCTGTCTCAGATGTTGTCCCTCCTTTAGGGACACAGAGAACCTAGTTTTGTTTTTTGGTTTGTTTTTACAGACAACTACATTGCCGCCATTATTTTATGGCTATTACATATATCACTCATTAACAATGCAACGAAAGGACCCAGAATACCTCCAACACTGCTCAGGATGCTGTGTGGGCATAAGAAATATAGACATTGTGGTCCCTGCTCTGGAAAGTCAGTGACTCACAAACATGACTCACATTTATAAAGCAATGGGCAAACTGGCTAGGGAACAGAGTGGGGGCGTGAGAAATAAAAAGGCAAGGGCAGGCCTTTGCTCTTGGAAAGCTATGAGCATGTGGGAAGTGGCTAGAGTAATAAAAGGCGGTACGTGTTGATGTGTGAAATGCCTGAACCATGTTCTGTAATTGTCCTTTGCTCCCCCAACGGGCTCGGCCCTGTCAGATCAGCCTGGGTCTCATTCATGTTCTATGTCCAGCCCCAGCTCGGTCCCGGCACAGGTAGAAATCCCCCAAAGTCACATCTTCCCCTTACCCCACGGTCAAGCTGCTCACGCCCTAGGGGTGGGCGTGGATCCGTTCTGTTTGTGGCACCTGAACCCAACAGACCTGGCACATTTGTGCCACACAGGTGCAAGGACGGGTCATCCTGCCCATGGGTATCAGAGTGACCTCCTACAGGCCAGCGGCTCTGCAGGAATCCCTGAGGAGCCCAGACTAGGCTCTGGAAGGGCATTTGTTAAGACTACGGAGACCAAGGCCCACGGCTGTGGGTTAAACTGGTCTCCAATGCTGCCCTGCGTCCAGCTGCGAGCCTCATTTTCCCCGATCGCACGAGGCGGCTGTAACCGTTGGCACAGGGTCCGTAGACTCCACCGTTCCCTTCGTTTTTCCCTCTGACTTTGCCGGGATTCCAGGCCCCAGCCCGCTACGGGTTAGACACCGATCCCTCCAGACCCTCGGCGCCCCGCCCGTCCCCGGTGGTCCCTCCCGCGCGAGCCTCTGACCATCCCCCGCGCGCCCCGCCAGACCCCCTCACCCGCCCTCGGCTCCATGGTGACACCGTCACTGCGCGACGCCTCCCGGGACGAAGTCTGGCGCGGAGTGACGTCACGCGACCGGCTCGCCCCCGCCCCTCCGCGCGCGCCTGCGCACTAGTGGGAAGGCGTGGCTAAGCGAAACTGACAGGGCGCGCATGCGCAAGAGGTGTGGCGAGCGCCGCGCGCTTGGCCTGGAAGTCGAGTGATTGTGAGCGCCTACTCTGACCCTCTGGGCGTTGGGGTTGTCAGAGTGAACAAATCCCCGGGCTCTCGGAGAGCCCCCTCCTTCCCTGGGAAGCCGGCCTTGATTGCTCCTCGCAGACCCCGCGGTCTCTCAGGTGGTCACACCGGCGCTGGCTGAAGATGGCAGGCTGATGGAGTGTCAGCATCACCGGAGCACAATGGTACATTTGCTATTACTTGAAACATTGTTGCCACTCGAAGCCCAGGGCTCGCTGGAGGCTCCTCATGGTGCCCTGGCTCTGCGGGATTGACAGGTGCACGGCGACACCCGGCCATCATTGTGGCTCACACCGAACGACTCCCTGCCCCCAAAATGTGCTCCTCCAGCTCATACCCACCCCCCAACTGCTGGTCCTTTTTTCTCTCCATAGTTTTGCCCTCTACGGAAGGTCACAGAGCTGGGCTTGGTGGCCACTTCTATTTATCATTGAATAACATGCCGCTGCCTCGATGGACCACAGTTTATTTGTTCATTCGCCCTCCCCATCTTGGTTACCTCTGAGTTTTGGCAGTTGTGAATTCAACTGCTATAAATACGTGCAGTTCACTTAGGATTGTAAAGCTTGTCATAGGCATTTCCTTACGAGCTCTTTTCAAAAAATATTTTTACTTACAAACATCTTTTTAGGCAGGGTGCTCTACCACTTGAGCCACTCCACCAGTCCTACAAACATCTTTTTGTTTAAAGTTTCAATATTTACAAAAGCAGCGAGGAGCCCAGAGCCTGAGGGCTCACGCCTGTAATCCTAGCTACTTGGGAGGGAGATCTCATCTCCAAAAATAATCAGAGCAAAATGGACTGGAGGTGTGGCTCAGGATAGAGCACCTGCTTTGCAAGTGCAAAGCCCTGAGCTCGAACCCCAATCCTGCCAAAAAAAAAAAAAGGAGGATAATTTGAAACCCCTTTGCTTCACTTCGATTATTAGTATTTTGTTCCCTTTTTAACTCCCCTGTCCCACTGACCCAAGAGTTAATTTTAAACATATCCCCAAAGTGACCTCATCTTATCTTTATCTCAGACTGTCTCTGAAAGATGAGTTTTTAAAAAGGCATTAGCATAACACTATTACACCAAAGACACAGTAATTAATACTTCTCAATATTATCAAATACTGAGTTAATAGTCAAGTTTCCCTGATTGTCTCATTTAAAGAAGGACCACATGCTGCATTTGAGTGATAGGTCTCATTTTTTAAAATTTTTATTTTACTTTTTAATTAGCATATGTTGATAGTACAAGGGCCTTTCACTGTGAAAACTCAAGATGTATACAGTGTACTTTGAACAAGCTCACCCTCCTCTCTTATATTCCTTTATTTCCATTTGTCTCTTAAGTCTATTTTTTTTCCTTTTTTTATACAAGTGTGTATTAGATTGTACAAAATAAAGGATTTCACTATGACTCTTCCTGATGTATTCTTACAAACTCTTTAGAATATGCGAGAAGGAATATGGTCAAACAGCCAAGAGGGACCAGGCATGAGGAGCTGGACTAGAGACCTCCAAACTGTGTGACTTTGAGTATCCCACACCACCTCTCTGAGCTTCTGCAAAATGTAGGGCAGTGGTTCCTGCAGTGGTGGAGTGGGCATAAGGAAGGAGTATGCTGCTGGCCGGGGAGCCTGCCTCACCCTGAGCTGCCTAGAGCTAAGATCCAGGTGACTAAGATCCTAGTGGATGACAAGAGAAGGCAGACAGGGGTTGGGGGAGGTGAGGGTCCAGTGAGAGCTGTTCCTCTCCCCATGGGTGCATCTGAACCTCCAGAATTTGTGATTTCCTGTACTTTCCAGGTTTGGACTTCAAGCATTAAACTCCATATTCTGCTTCATGTTTTCTGTATCAGATGCAGACACATGCAACTCTAAAGTTCTAAAAAGGAAAATGCAGACTCTTGAGTCTCTCTACCAACAGCAAAGAAGGGCTCCTGGGAAGCTAGAAGATCCCCTTCCACCTCGGGCACTCCTCTGGTCCTCTGAACACCATGCTGCCCCTTCTGTGGATGCTTCCTCTTGGGGCCCAGAGAACAGCAGTCAGCCCATGGCATTTCATGGGAGGCTTTGCTTTGGCAAGACCAAGAAGCCTGAAGTGTCACAAAGACACCCTGTTGTTTTAGCCGCCACTACCCAGTCCCAGGGTGTGTTACATGCTAGGCTTCCTGCCTCTGACTATCCCTGTCCTCCTCCTTCCTCCTCTTCCTGCTCTCCACCCATTTGTGTATCTTCTAGCTGTGACTATGTGACTTTTCAGTGCCAACTTGCTCACTGGGCAGGCAAGGCCCTGCTTTACTCCCACCTTCATCCCTTAGCCAACCAGCATCCTGCCAACCTTAAAGTCAACTCCGCTCATCTCCTTCCCGCCACACATACCCCTGTCCCAATGCAAGTGAGCTCTGATGTGCACCATGGACCTGGGTGACAACCTGTCGATGGAGGTCCACCGACTGTGACAAGTGCAGTGCTCTGGTGGGGGTGTCATTAGTGGGGAGGCTGCCCACAAGTGAGGGTGGGACATATGGAGAATTCCCCCTATCTTCTGCTCAGTTTTGCTGTGGACCTAAAACTTATGAAAACATATACTCCACTTAAAAAAAAATCCTACCCCAAATTGGCCCGGTGGCTAACAGAAGGGAAGGGCTGGGCATCAATGAACTCTTCTAACCGGATGGAGAATTTAGAAATATGGTGACTACGAGGTCACCTGCTATGAAGAAACAGTAAAAGGGAAGATGTATTCCTTCAAGACCCAAAGAGAGGAAGCCACAGAAAAACCAACAAAAACAAATCAAAATCCTCTATGGAAGCTGGAGAGGGGAAGGGTACCCCTGGCATACTGCTCTGACATACTTAGGTGGGCCCCAACCCTTGTTTAAAGTACACAGTGTGTGATGGATGGCTGCACAGTAAGGCTCCATCCACGTGGGAGCCAGTCCAGTTCTTCAAAGTAAACTCATTACCATCTCCAAATACACAGCAGGAAACAGAACACAGCCCTAGGCACCAAGAAAAGAAAGCGCAACAAGGCCTATTTTTGAGATGTGTTGTTAGGCGTTCATCAGTTTTCCTCTCTGTGATGACATACCTGAGAAAACCAACTTAGAGGAGGAAAGGTAGATCTCGGCTCACGATTTCAGCCTGTGGTTTCTTGACTCTGTTGTTTCTGGGCCTGAGGTGAGATGGAATATTCCAGAGGGGAGGGGAGCACATCATTGAGCACAGTGGCTCACCTCAGGACAGCCAGGAATGAGAGGAGAGGGAGAGAAAGAGAGAGAAAAAAGGAAGAAGAAGGAAGAAGGAGGAGGAGGAGGGGGAGGGAGGAGGAGGATGAGGGAGGAGGAGGAGGACAGGAGGGGGAAGAGGAGGGGGAAGAGCACGAGGAGGATGAGGAGGGGGAGGAGGACGACGAGGAGGAGTGGGCAGCAGCAGAAATAGTCGTCAGGGATAGGACACGCCTTTCAAAGATGCATTCCTAGTGACCTACTTCCTCCATCTGCGCCCACCTCCAGAGCTCACTTGGATCTGCGCTCATGGGCGGATTGATCCACTGATGAAGCAAGCACCTCGTGATCTGGACATCTCAATAGCGCCTCGAGCTGGGGACCAAGCCTTCAGCACCCGAGTTTTGGGGCAGATACACTATATGTAAAACACAGTCTTGTAGCTGCCAGAAGGAACCACTGCAGTCAAGTTACCAGCTCTGCCAGGAGGGAAGATGTAGCAAGGCAGAGACCGTTCCATTTTAAGATGCTTTTGGGGTTTGGGCACTGATGCCGACTTTATCCATCAGTGTCTCTTCCACATTCTGGCAGGAGCCTGCGCTGATCTCTCCTGACCCTACCTGACCCTGCCCGGTACAGCAGACCTTGCCTTCTCCTTCCCCTTCCACGCTCCTCTCATGGTGAACTTGGACACTGCAGTGATTTGGAGCTGCATCAACAGCTCAATAAAAGTAACATTATTGAGGAAGCTAGTAAACCATGTTTAAAGAAACTTCTTCCCCAAGGTCAAGGTTGCCAGGTAAACACAGGCTTGTCTAGTACATTTAAACTTAAAGGGAACAGTGAATATATATAATATTTGTATATACACACACACTACAGGTAACATCCCACAGTGCATACACACACACATGTCCATGCTGCCTGTTAAGAATCTGTTTTTTATTTGCTAATCTGATCACCCATACTGCCAAGGAAAAAGAACATTTGGGTGTCAGGTTTTCTTTCTCCAGTGTCAGGACCCAGTTTAATTGCCAGCTCCTCCAAGAAACTTGCATTGCTCCTCTTCCTTGCCTCTAGCCTTCTTAGCTCGCTCCCTCTGAGTGGCAGACTGGGGCAGTGCCTCACTGCCGTGCAGGATGGACTCCCAGGTCTGCAGCTGACCCACTGTGTGAGCCCAGGTGAGTGACTGAACATCTCTGTGCTGCATTCTCCATTTGTAGAATGGAGATGGCAAATGAGCCTCTGGCATGTGCCTCTCAGTTGGTGAGGATTAAACTTCAAAGTGGAGTGCCACACTTGGAACTGGTTCTGGAATGTGCTAAGGGCTCTAAACGCCTTTGTCTAAAAGGAAGGTTTCAGCCCACCATCACCTGTGCACCTGCCCTAGGGGTGGCTCTGGTGAGCTGTCCGTCCCTGTGAGCATCTGCTTGAAATAAGCCCGTAAGTGTTTAAGTTGGATTCTGGGCTTGAAGCACTTCATGCAGACAAGACAGGGATGGTGGTGGTGGTGGGGTCTCCGAAGCCCCCACGTGATTTCCACTCACTCAATTTTTAATCACAGAACACTGGGTCTGCCAGGCAGCGAAGTGGGCACAGATCCAGCCAGTAC